ATGAATTTGTTATCACGAGGCCGCGACGTATTAAATAGAGACAAAGGAGTTGGGTTACTTAATTACTGGATTCTAAGTAAATATAATGCTAAATTATTGTTTGGATAGCTAATTAAATTATTAATATCAATGAAATTGCAAAGACAAATTTGTTTTAAACTATAGTACGCTTTACTGTATTGAATTTAAAATCAATGATATGACTGATGGCTTGACAATAAAAACATAATCTTTATTTCGATAATATACCGCAATCTATAGAACGAATAGCAAGTGGCGTATCCAATTAATATTTTCTGTTCTTCTGGGTATAATCTTCATTTGAAAGATTTACGCAAAGATATAGAAAAGATCAAAACCCTGCAAAAGTGATTAGAGTGTGAAGATATCGATTATTATGAAAACATAAGCGTATCCTCTGCATTAAAAGCATTAATTACGAAAAGCTGCTTAAAAGTATCTCTAGGCATATCTAGATCAGTAAATCAGTTTTCAAAATTTCCGTATTTGATATTTAATTTATTTTAGCACTAAGAACGAATACCCAGCACAAATACTTTGAGCAGAAATTTGGGGAAGCTACAAGGTAAGCCGATCATCTAAATCTAACTGATTAATTTGAATTATCGTATACCACGTTATTTCTAAATTTTACATCAAGGGATGATTGCTATTATAGATCAACTTTTCAATAATCTTATGTTGTATAAAGAGTTGGTATACGTATGTGCATTTAATATCTAGCATATTGCGAAACTAATAAGCACTTGATAATTAATTTTTCATATTAGAAGCGTAAAGAAGTAAATTTCAGATTAAGACTTTTAATCAATTACCACTTACTACAAGATTGCATCCACACAGCATCGACGAACTGTCTGTATTGAAGTTAACATCGACATTGATAAAAATTATCAACGCATGATAAAATTTAGCTTTAGTTTGATGCAATCTTCACTAGCTGAAAGCTAGAACACAAATATTACACTTTCGGAATAGACAGATTAAATCTTTAAGTTAATATACCCAGTTTGTGCAGAAACTAGATTTTCAAACCTTCCTTGCCCTACTTTTCCTCTTAATCCTTTTAAGTTCAGCCTACGTATTTAGTATTGCACGTAACTAATATTATAAATTTACAATGCGATAACAGTTCACTTACGTATAGCATTACGAGCGGAACATTATATGATCAATGCGTAATTGAATTAAATGTTACGGCTATGCTATAAATTTATCATTTCTTTTGTAAGATACTTCTACACTGATTAATAATCCTAGGAAAGTTCTAGTTTCATAGATAGTAAGATAGCAGATTCGTTCACGACAATCAGACCCTATTTTAGATGATTACTTTATTTACAGTCAACTTTGGATCAAATCATTTAATTTACTCGATTATTTTTCTTAACTTAATACATTACGATATTTATTGTTGCAATGCGTACATTTGCAAATAAAAATTCTCAAAAGGTGAAGATATATCGTATTTTTAAACTACTGTAAAATTTTAGTTTCAGCCATTTAATATCGCTTCTAC